ACCAACCTAGGCAGCATATTAAAAAGCAGAGACATCACTTTGCCAACAAAGGTCCATGTAGTCAAAGCTATGGTTTTTCCAGTAGTCATGTATGGATGTAAGAGTTGGACTATAAAGAAGACCGAATGCCAAAGAACTGATGCTTTTGAATTGCAGTGCTGATGATTCTTGAGAATCCCTTGGACAGCAAGGAGATCAAACCTGTCAATCCTAAAGGAAATCAACCCTGAATATTCATTGGAAGGATGGTGTTGAAGCTGAAGCTCTGACACTTTGACCAACTGATGGGAAGAGCTGACTCTTGGAAAAGACCCTGATGCTGGGAAAGATTGAGGGCAGCAGAAGGGGATGACAGAGGATGAGATAGTTGGACAGCATCACTGACTTAATGGACATGAGTTTGAGCAAACTCCAGGAGATAGTGAAGGACAGGGAAGCTTGGCATGCTGCAGTCCATGGGGTCTCCAAGAGTCAGACAGGACATAGCGACTGAACAATAACAACAAGAAAGTTAAGTCACTTTCCTGGATTGCACATTTTTTGTCTAAGAACAAATTGAGGCAGGCCTGCATTTTTGCCAGCGCATTCCTCACCTGGATGACTGGCAGGTATGGAGGGGTGGGAAGAGGTTGCAAATAGGCTCTGAAGAATGGGAAGTGACCATATTGACTCATCAGAAGGCTCAGAGTTTGGTTAAAATCTGACGGAGTCCAGTTACCAGGGGTCGGCCAGCCGCCAAGCTGGGAAGAAAAGAAACAGCGCTCAACACAGGGATACAGTCTCTCAGAACACATCCCTCACCAGCTGACTTCTGGCTACATCCTGACTTCTACCCTGAGTCCCCTGCCCCTTCTAGGGCTCCACCTCTGTCCCCCTTTTCCTACCTTCAGCCAAGGTCTTGTTATGTCCACAGATCATTGCCATGTCCACCTCCCTCCCAAACCCTTAGGAAAGAGATCCATCCTCTATGGGCAAGAAAAAATGGCAGCCCTGGGCACACATTGGTCTTGTGTGCTTTCTGCATCCAGAAAAGTAGATGTGCCAGTCTCACCTCCTCAATAACCTGTCTGAGGGGACCGGCCCCTGCTGTCTCAATGGCATCCGTGTTCATGCAGGAGTTGTAGAATCCGAAGGCTTTCTCCTCCCCAGGGCCCAGGCGCCAGGAACCTGGAGTTTCTAGAAAGGAAGCGGGGGAGAGTTAAAGGAATAAGGCAGCTTGGAAACAAGCAGGGAGGGTGGGAGATGGAAAGGTTATAGGCAAGGAAGGGAAGATTCCCAGGGAAAAGGAGGGAAGGGGAGGAACCCAGGGATGAGGATGAGGGGAACAATTTTGCAGGAGTTGTAGAATCCGAAGGCTTTCTCCTCCCCAGGGCCCAGGCGCCAGGAACCTGGAGTTTCTAGAAAGGAAGCGGGGGAGAGTTAAAGGAGTGAGGCAGCTTGGAAACAAGCAGGGAGGATGGGAGATGGAAAGGTTATAGGCAAGGAAGGGAAGATTCCCAGGGAAAAGGAGGGAAGGGGAGGAACCCAGGGATGAGGATGAGGGGAACAATTTCTTTTTTTTCTTTTTTGCTCTGCTGGGTTCATGAGGTATGTAGGCTTCATTAGTTGCCCTGTGGCATGTGGGATCTTGGCTCCCCAACCAGGGTTGAACCTACATTCCCTGCCTTGGGAGGCAGATTCTTTACCACTGCACCACCAGGCAAGTCATGAGCTGGACCAATTTGTTGGAAGAATAAGAACGTGGAGAAGACAAAGAGGAAGATAAAGAAAAGTTGAGGAAATTCCCTGGTAAGGACTCTGCATTCTCACTGCCAAGGGCCCAGGTTCAATCCTTGGCTTGGGGGGCCAGTGTGAGTAAGATAGATCCCATATCCCACAAGACAAGTGGAATGGCTGCCATAAAAAAAAAAAAGAAAAAGAAAGGAAAGCAAATGTGAGAAAGGCAATAAAGAGGAAGAGACAAGGGTGTGGGGGGAAGAGATGGAATAACTGGAGTATGGAAAAAGCAGAAAGAGTAGAAATGAGAGGTAAGAGGGAGATGAGCGAAGGAATCAGAAAAATCAGGGAATTCAGAGAACTTTCGAGGGATTGGAGTGGAAGAGCATGAGGAAGGGTTTGGTAAAGGCAAGAAACTGGTGAGGGCTCCCCTAGTCCAGACTCTCCCCTCTCTCTGATCCCAGTAGACAAACACATGACAATTACCCAAACACACACCACTGGAGCCCTCCACCCTCTCCTATCTAACCCCACTCACTCAGGCCCCCTGATTTCTTTCATTCTTTCATTCTACCCACAGAATCTGTCTGAAGGGTACGTTTTCTTTTTATCTCTGTACCTTACATGAAAGCCTGGCCCTCTGCTATGCATGGAGTACCCACCTCCACTCCTTCCCATCAAAAGAAGGAGGGCAAAGGGAAACATTTATTTCTTCCAAATTCCAACTGGTACTGTCAACAGGTTCCCTGGGCTCCCTTATAGAGAAAAGGCATCCTTTTGGTTGCATTCTCATCCCTTAGTCCTCCTCATCATCCAGCAACATCCTGGGAACACCTTCCTCCTTCCTGTGTGGCCTGGGTTCCTGCCTCACGGTTCGCCTCTTGGTTCATTTCAACAGAACCACCATCCACAGAAATCTTCCTGCCTCCAGGGTTTGTAACTTGGTCCTCCCCTTCCCCCAGCATGTCTTTTGTGATCTTCTGTATTCCTTACCTTAACACAACCAGATAAAGCCCCTCATCACTTCTCACCCACTCTGCCACTTCTTTCCTCCCACCGTCATCTCCAATCACCCATCTCCGGCAGCCCAGTTTCAGCTTCTTCCACTTCAACTGGCAAGCCATGGTCCAAGGTTTCAGGGAGGACAGGAGATGACTGTGAGAGCGGGGATCTGGGGGATGATGGGAGTGAGAGGGTAACACTCACAAGGGAGCATTAGGGGACAAGAAGGATTTGAAGGCTGGAGGATGAGGGCGATGGGGAGAAGGATTAAAGTGCAATAGGTGTTGAGGAGACGCCAGCGTGGGAAGACATCGGGCACAGGGTAGAAACTGAAAATATAAGGGAGATAACACAGATATCTGTGGATGGATGGGAAAGGTGAGGGAATAGGGACTAGGTAAAGAAATGAGGATGAGAGGGACCAGAAGAGATGGAAGAGAGGCAGGATCTGCTGTGAAATGTATGACGATGGAGAAGCTAATCGAGCAGGTCCCTAGGAGCCAGTGGGGCATGGTACAAATTGGCTGTTCCCTAGCCACGCAGGCTTGGGAGGGACATCAGTGATCATCCCAGGCTCCGCGGCACCCACAGCAAGAGAACCTTCCATCCTGATTCCCTTACCCAGGATTCTTCGAACTCGGCGCTTGTTCTCCTCCTCAAGAGCCTGAAAAGGACTGCCGGTCCTGTTGGCGTTTCCGCAGGCGAAGCTAAAGAAATCAGTGCAGGGGGCCACACTGGTGTTCCCAGAGGCCAGGTAGAGAGCCAGGAGGTCCTGACACACAGATGTCTTGCAAGGGGCTGTGGGGAAAAGCTCAGAGCTGTGAAAGAGGAAGCGATGAGGACTCCCCCCGAGGGGCTAAGCAAAGAAATGTCTGGTTAGGGAAAGGGACAGAGACCCTGATGAGGAGCAAATCGTCTGACTGATGGGCAGGAGAGGGATTCAAGGGGCACGAGGCTGGGAACCCGGCGCCCCCAGGAGTCAGGATGCATGGTGGGTCTCGGGATGATGGATGGTGGATGGGGAGTAGGTTGTGGGGGGATCTAGGATCTCGCTTACAAGGACCACAGCCCTGGAACACGTAGCCCCAAAGCAGCAGAGAAACACCAAGGATTATACTGAAGAGCAGAAGGGTCTTTAGCGCCCGCAAGGTCTTTTGCCACCATCCATCCTGTGCGGTGGGCAGCTCCTCTTCTGGAAATTTCTGTGCAGAGAACCAGGAAATAAAAAACACATGATGGAGAGGATTGGGATGGGGGAGGGAGGGGGAAAGGAGGAAGAAGGAACAGATAGTTGGTGCTGGGGTCCCCTGGTACAGAGATAACGCCCCTTATTCTCCTGAACCCAGTCTTCTTTGGACCCCTGGGAGCTGGAAGGGCTGTCAGAACGCTGCCCTGAGCACTTACCACCCGTCTCCTGCGTGTCCCCGATCCACTTGCTTGCTCAGTCCACATGGCTCTCCCCACCGACTCTTTGTCTCCACCCTCCTGAACTGGAGGCAGGACAGAGAAGCTGGTTCAGGAAGGGGGTGCATCACAGAGAGTTATATCAGGTCATTTTGAGACCTCCTGCCCACCTGCCCCCCTACCCCCCCTCCACCCCCAGCACACACACATGTATGCTCATCCCAGGGCAGTGCTCCTAGGCAGGCTTCAGAATGAAACTGTCTTCCTGAGGTTCCCCCACTCCCTCCGTCACCCGTCACCTGCCTCTCCTCCCCGGTTCCTACTCTCCAAGTCCCACATCCCTCCTCTCTGGAGGGGGACAGGGAATGCACGCGCGCGCGCACACACACACACACACACCAGCCGGCTCTACCCTAGGTGTCTGACTCCCAAAGGGAATGGCCTTCTCCAGGGTACTTGCCGTCTGTCTGGCCGTCTCTCTTGCTCTCAGAATCCGTCCTGCTTCTGCTCTAGGTGCTGAGTCTGAGGATGGGGATTCAGGAAATAGCCTCTCTCTGACCCCCCACCCCAGTTCCTTTTTGCTGGAGAAAGAGCACATGTGCCACCCGCAGTCCTTGTCCCCACACACATGCTACTGGCCTCTGGGTGGAGCCTGTTTATCGGTCTGGAGACACCCCAGCCTCTCCTGGCTCCTTTATCTCAGCCTCTCAGGGGAGGCAAAGGGAGGCAGTTTCCATTCCCCAAGCAATCCTGCCCTGGGTGGCTCCTCTTGACTTGCTTTGTGCCTCCGCTCACAGAGTTTCTTTCTGGAATATTCTTTCTTCTCTCCTTTCTAATATGATGGAAACATCTGCCTTTTAATTCTTGGGTCAGATGTCCCCTCCCCTGGGAGGTATGCCAGCTCCATGCCCATTCCCCCTGCTCCCAAGCATGCTTGATAGCTTCCCAGGGAGTGTCACAGCCCTGCAGGTTGCAGGCAGAACAGTCCAGGAAAAAAAGCAACAAGCTAGGAGACCCTAATCTGCTCATTACTAGCCCTGTGACTGTGAATGACCCCTTAAACTCTCAGGCAGGTAAGTTTCACCATTTGGAAAATGAGGATGATATTTCCTTTGAAAGCCTCACCCGGTCTCATGCCTTCCACAACGATTGAAGTGTGGACAAAGAATGTTGCCTGTCATATCAGTAAGCAAAGGATGCTTTAGCCATCAAGGCATCAGCCATGGCAGCTGCCCCAACGGTGAATGCTGAGAGGATTCAGGATGGAGGGAAAACAGGGTACTGGCCCTAGATAGTACAGTACATATCAAAGGAATAATGTCAATAAGTCATGAAGACTGCATCTTCCCATACATAGAAAAGCACTAAAGTAATGAGCTTGAGATGTACGGTTTTTCTTTAATTAGCAGTAATCTTTTGATGGGCTTCCCAGGCGGCTCAGTGGTAAAGAATCCACCTGCAGAGCCGGAGACCTGGGTCAGGAACATCCACTGGAGAAGGAATGGCTACCCACTCTGGTATTCTTGTCTAGAGAGTTCCATGGACAGAGGAGCCTGGCAGGCTACAGTCCATAGGGTCACAATGAGTCAGACACAACTGGGCGACTAACATACTTTTGATATTCTACTACCTTTTATTTTTGTTGCTATTTTTGAAACAACTCTTATATAACCTGGCTCCTCCATTACGTCTTTGGAACAGTCCCTCAGAGCTATCTAAGAGGCTGTACCCTGGACTTAAGTCCTCATTAAGTCCACCAGATAAAACATAATTCTCAACTTTCAAGTTGTGCGTTTCTTTTCCAGTTGAGAGAGGCATGACTGACCCTCTTGTGTTATTACCCAGTTGCCTTGTATGGCAACCCACTCCAATAGTCTTGCCTGGAGAATCCCATGCACAGGGGAGCCTGATGGGTTACAGTCCATAGGGTCGCAAATAGTCTGACACGACTGAAGTGACTTTGCCAACTTGTATATCATCTCTCTATTGATTACAAACTCTTTGGTAACAAGGAACAAGGTTCCTTTCTCTTTCACACCCTCATAAGATGTTTCCTAAACACTTGTAGGAATGAACTGCATTCTAAGACAGAAATTCTCTTTCCCACATCATACTGAGCCCTCACATGGGGTAGGTCTTAGCACATTTATGAAAGAAAGTATTTCACCACCATTCTTTGTTTCCCCATCTCAGGTAAAATGGGATTCACTAGGACAGTCACACTAATGATACCTCAGCAGTATTTCCCAACCAGTACTCTGTTATGGTGCATTTGTTGGGATGTGGGTAAGGACGGATGGCTCCATGGCTGGAGATGAGGAATAAAGCTCCTATGTTGACGGACACCATATTGTAAAGCATCGTGAAAGCTTCGAAGAAAAGTCATGACTTCAACGATAGAAAAAAGGGACCAAAGGCTTTTGAGGAAGAGTAGCTCAGACGGTAAAGCATCTGCCTACAATTCAGGAGACCTGGGTTCGATCCCTGGGTTGGGAAGATCCCCTGGAGAAGGGAAAGGCTACCCACTCCAGTATCTTTGCCTGGAAAATCCCATGGACTGAGGAGCCTGGTAGGTTATAGTCCATGGGGTCGCAAAGAGTCGGACACGACTGAGTGAATTCACTTCACTTCACTTCAGTTCATGACATGATGAAAATAATCCCTACAAATGGCTGGTGCCGGGGTTCTGGGTTGATAAAAGACAAGAGACACAGTGCTGGTTCTACGGAACAGGAGTGACATAGAGAGGCCAGGCCCTGGCTGAGGGCAGAGGGGTGAACACATGGAAAGAAAACATTTACAGAGGAAGACAAAGTCATGGAAACCAATTAAATGGGGGTGGGGTGGGGTGGGAGTCAGCGGATAGCAGCCACAGATGAGCTTCCCTGTTGTTTTCTGGATGTCTAAGAGAAGAGTGATCCACTGAGTTGATTCTTAAAATTGCATCTGTCTACATTCGGGGGCTTCTCAGGAGGCTCAGTGGTGAAGAATTAGCCTGCCAATGCAAGCAGACGCAGGAGATGCAGGTTCAGCCCCTGGGTTGGAAGATCTCCTGGAGGAGGACATTGCAACCCACTGCTGTACGCTTGCCTGGAAAATCCCACAGACAGAGGAGCCTGGCTGGCTCCAGTCCGTGGGGTCACAAACAGTCACGATGACTGAATGACTGAGCACGCCTGCAGGACAGTCATGCCAGCAGGTTAAGGACTGAGAACAAACGATGACTCAGGACTTTGAGAGGTTTTGGTCTGTTTGGATACAAATCTACCATGCTTTCTCTGTCCCCTTCCCTTCCCCCAAAGTCCAATTCTCTACAGATGGACTTCTAGCTTCTTTCACACCTACCCCTCCTCCCCGATCCTGTTCCACCAACCAAGTCCTCTGGGCTGCAGTTTCTCGAGGAAATGATAACAAGGACAATTCAGATTAGATAAGAGCAAGCTGAGGCACAAGCATGCCCTATAACCAGCCCTGTAAACAGCCACCGTGGCCTGGGCTTAGGCTCCGGGCCAACCTCGGAGATAAGGCTGCCAGGCCACCCCTCCCCATCCCGCTGCCTTAGTGAAGGCGGAGAAGCCTCTCTCTGGCTGCTGCCTCTGGAGCCTAAAGCACCTTATCTTCCACGTTGCGTCATCACCAGCATCCACGCCTCACCGGCTACACCCAGTCCCTCCACACCTGACTGACTTCAAGGCAAGGCAGCTCCACAGCTCAGAACCAAGGCCCAGGGAGCAGACGCACACTTATCTTCGCTGACACTGCCTCGGATTGCTTTCATGGTTCTGTGCATTTCAATCCCAGGATCTTTTGTTTGATACCATAATGATGTCAAAAATCATAGCAGCTATGTTCAGAACATAGTTTTTACTGAGCACTTCCTACTGTTTAGGGGCTACAATAAATTCTTTGTTTCCATATATGTTCCCATTCAGTCTTCGCAGTAATTCCATGAGGGAGATAAGATCTTTTTTCCCTTCCTTCTTATAGATGACAAAACTGAGCTACATGGAAGTACAGTAAACTTTGGTCAGTTCAGTTCAGTCACTCAGTTGTGTCCAACTCTCCGTGACCTCATGGACTGCAGCATGCCAGGCCTCCCTGTCCATCACCAACTCCCGGAGTTTACTCAAACTCATGTCCATTGAGTCAGTGATGCTATCCAACCATCTCAGCCTTGTCGACCCCTTTTCCTCCTGCTGTCAATCTCTTCCCGTATCAGGGCCTTTTCCAATGAGTCAGTTCTTCATATCAGGTGGCCAAGGTATTGGAGTTTCAGCTTCAGCATCAGTCCTTCCAATGAATATTCAGGACTGATTTCCTTTAGGATGGACTGGTTGGATCTCCTTGCAGTCCAAGGGACTCTCAAGAGTCTTCTCCAACACCACAGTTCAAAAGCATCAA